TGTTTCGGATTCGACTCTTGGATATTTCTAGAGCACTAAAAAAGCACCAAAATACTGCATAATCGTTTTATCCGTGAATCTTTCCCTTAACGTAGATTGCACTGTGGGGGTGCTGAGTGAACGTTCACTCAGCACCCCCACCGATTTTCGGTATAAGGGGTGGAGCACTAAAATCGAGGTTGTAGCACTAAAATAGCACTAAAAAAGCACTAAATTCTCCAATAGGTTTCATTCCATATTTCCGATGTGGGGGTGCCTACTGTACATACATCATAGAACGATCTTATTCAAGTGAAAAATTTCGACTCGAGGCGTAATAAGGGTTGAATCCAAAACAATTCGAAAAGGTAGAATGTTACTAATAAATTGGCTAACGACTGCAAAATAAGATCTTACTAATGGATAATCATAAAATATTTCCATCAGTCAAATAATGGATTTCAAAAATCATAAATATAACACGTTGACTGCCACGCGCATTTTATTTGACTGCTATGTCACTCGAATATGGCTGACGTGGCAGTGAACGTGTTAAAGGACTTCAGTTTGATGGCGATCTAATTCTAATGATTCTAGTGGAACGATCAATGAATTCCACCATGCTATACAATACGACGCAGACTGATGCAATTGCTAATGAAATCAAAAGAGATTACAACTTATTATGTTATTCAAGTCCCCAAATGACGGCGTCGCCAACACGTGTTAAGAAAAATTTGTTTTACCGATGACATCTAAGTTTCCTGACACCTTTCGCATCACCTTAAACATTCTCAACAGAAATTAAACTAATGCAGAGTAGCGGAGAAAAACGATGAAAAAATAATGTACTTATTCGAAGTATTATTTTACAAATGATATAAAATTCCGAATTCTTCATATACATGCAAACATATTCAATACTTTATGAAAGAAAAAAGTGCAGGCTCCCAAAAGTAATAGAAATGTTTAACACAAAAATAGTAGCTCACTAATGTGTGCGTAAGTACCTTACGTAATTTATGAACGGTCTCTAATGAATGCGGGAATAATATGTGTTGCAAGATATTACTGTTCCGGGACAATTTTGGCTAATTTCGGAATGCGCAGAGAAAAGAATGTTATGATACGTAGAACATCGGTGAGAGGTTATTGAACGGATTTACGAAGGAGGTCAAATGATATTTATGATTATGATTGAAAAAGGTGGATATGAAGGAAGCCGAACAAGTGTTTTTGGGATAAATTCTATGCTCTCTCATTGATGTTCTTAATGTTTTGACATTGAGATTCGTTATGTTCAATTAAGTTGAAAAATAATGTAGCACAAAATACCTGCGTATGGGACTGGAAATAGCAAGTGGAGTGGGAACTCCAATTGCTTTAATACGTTGCTGCATCGTCGGACTAGCTCCTCCTTGACCCTGACCCCGCTGAGAACCCGTCGCAGGTGACCCAGTCGCTTCGGGCGAGAGTACATCCGGTGTATGGCTTCGAGATCCGTTCATTCCTCTAACAAAAAGGGGAATATTATGAATAGACTTAAACAATGTAAAGAAATAGGTATACAAATATGACAAATATTTTCCATTCTTTAGTATATCAATACTGCTTTCCATTTCGTATTCCCGTTACTTCTACATTCTGTTGTGTTTATGGACACAGTATTATCAATGGAATCAGTGGATGTTAAAAGTGACAAAATTGAAGTCACTTAGGGGATAGTAAGAAATATAGATGCTCGGAAAACAAAGCATTTATCAATTTTCGTGACATTTTACCACCATTAGACCAGAATCAGTACTTGGTCACATAATTTGTCATTGTTTACTGATAAAGGAATTGAAATATTGATTTGTACAATAACTACAGTGGTGATACACCACAAAATAGCGCGACTAACAAAAGCGATTGCGCGCTTCGGATTGTGTACACATTAACTAATAGTGTGACCGCTCTGCACGGGTGTCACAGACCCCCGCCGCGGGGCGCCACTAAACCCATTGCCCCGAACGAACACCACCGTGACCTCGTAGACAACAGCAACAACTGTGCCCTCGTCGCTTCTTCTAGAATTCACCTCGCTATTTCCCGGCAAGTAACGAGTTCCGCCATATGGGTAGCAAGCCGCGTGGCGTCGTGCGGGAAATACAATTGAGCCATCGCGTATAGTAATACATATAATCATTGTACGGGGAGAAAAACATGCCTACGAAACTAAGAGTATGTCCTATCTTTGACCTTCTTGGCATTAAGGTGATATGGAAAAATCAGTCTATATAGTGTCCCATAACAGATAAATAATCTTTCAATGGGTAAAAGAGGGTGAAATTTTGAACTAGAAGTTCCTTTTCAATTTTTTAATTAGAACATTTTTTATCAAGGTATGAACAATTATTAAAATTGACCAACAAGACGGCGCGCGACCAGAGTTCGCAGGGTTGTAGCATGCCGTGGGGCTACTCGATCATACCTTACGTTCCTCCAGAAAAAATAACTTTTCAATGCAAAGTATTTAATAAATGAATTAGTAAATAAATAAGAATAAAAAGTTATACATTGATCAAATAATTGATTAAAAAATCATTATTTAATTACATAATAAATCAATAAATTATTGACTGACCGATTAAATGTCCAATTCATTCATCTATTCATTAGAAAATTAATCTGTCATTTAGAAATATATTGATTTATTATGTAGTTAAAAAATTACTTCTAAATTAATATGTGATCAATTCATAACTGTTCTTATTCTTATTTATTAAATACTTTGACATATTGAAATGAAATTATTTCTGTAGGGTCGCGACTGTAAGGCATGAGCAAGGGGCTCCACGGTTCGCTGCACGCGTACGTACTCTGGCTGCTTGCCGTCTCGTTGGTCAATTCTAATTGTTAATAACCGGATGAAAAATGTTCTGAGCCAAAAATGAGCAAGGAACCTTTAGTTAAATCCCATCCTCTTTCACCCCTTGAAAGATTAATTATGTATTATGTATATCTGAGAGGTAAAATTGTTTGTGAAAGTATTCACCGAATTGGATGAACCGATTCGTTAAAAATTTTAGCACCTGAATATGAAGACGCTACGGTGGGTCTTGAAATTAATGAAATTTAAATTTTTTAAAAACTTCATTTGTTTATCATGGACTAGAACCAACATGGCGTGGTATTGCACGGTTTCGATGTTTTATGCTTCTTGGAGGCTTATAATCGAAAATGAGTTTCAGAGCCTAGCTCGAACGATTTAGAATATTATAGAATCAGGTGGGAAAATATGGAAAATACTTTCACCAACGATTACACGAGAATGCTGGCTTGTTCCGTGTGTAACGTGTGCTTTTAGAGCAAAAATTTAGTTGCAGCTCAATGTCGCAGGCCCATCGTTGGCCCATTAGAGCATTTCAGAGCGCTTAATTTTGTATGATTTTCAACGTAGAGTGTAACAGATTTCAACATAAATATATATGTTGGTAACATGACGTGCCAGCATATGTTACCACTTGAGTATCCAAAATGGCGTTACCATAAAAAAGGGTATCGATGAATGTAATTTTATTGACGACAATTAAATATCCCGGCGCCTTTCATATCACTGTAAGGACGGGACTGTGGCGGTAAGAGCATATTGGTTATTTAATTTTGGGAGTATTATATCGCTTGGTGATATTTGGAGTCACTTGCAACAATCATGGTGTGGTACGATTTGTGTTACCGTAAGTTCTACCTAGTTTCGTTTAGGTCGGCATTTAGAACATTTCTTTTGTTCGGATCCGTGGCTAAATTTTATTAAAGGTCTATAAAAATATTTACAGGAGTCACGCATTGCCAAGAGTGTATGATGTCGGTGCTCCCACCTGGCGAGCAGCGGGATGGGTTTCAGCGGTGGCGGCCGCGAATGGGAGTCGCTCTGGAGGCCTTAATGACATCTGCGGTGAGTTGTCATATAATTAAGAAGTTTCCTCGGACCCAGTGCCGACTAGAAGAATTATGGATGAATCCGGGGATATGACAGTAGAGTTTCCTCGATTTGGCGTTTTTGAAAAGACTGGAGTTTATTGTTGTAGGATTTCTGTCCCGTGCAGGACAGCTACCAAAGCAACCCCGCCTTGCCGCCCGGTTCCATCCCGTCGAAATTCATTCCATGGGCCAAATTGGTGAGCTAACCTATTTCGGAGTGGAAAGGTTTCGTTTTCGCTGAAAATTGTAGTAGTATAACAGTAGCGGTTCTGGATACAGATTCCTGCACCGACATGTTACCGACACCTCGACAGCCTTCGACAGTTCTTGTCGATGCTAACCGCCCGTCGTCGAGCGTAAGATGATGTCATCGGACCCGTCGTCGAACTTCGATTTCCAAGAATTTGCCTAGAATTCTGGGAATTTGACTGTAATACGGCGATTTCCCCCCCCACGCTCGAGGTAGTTCACTCTAGCGTCCACAGTTGGCGCCACCGGAAGAGGGTACGTGTCCGTACTAAATTTTTTGCGCGCGTGCGAACCCCGCGAAACGCCTCGAGTAACGTTTTCGTAACTCCCCTCTTCCCTCGACCCCCGGAAGGGTCTGGAACGTCTTCAAACATTCGATTGCGCACAAGGGTGTCGCAACGAGGCTCGAATTCCAAGAATCGAAGTCTTCCCCTTGCATGAGAAGTTCTACCGGTGACGCAACAGAGACCCGAAGGTCGTCGAAGACCGCTCGCATAAGCTGAAACGTCGAGCAACGTCGGAGAGACCCCCCTTGGACCAGGATGATACAACGAGGACCCCGTATTCCAAGAATTGGAGATCTGTCCTTGAACGTCATACGGCTTGGACGATATCGGAGGACCGTTGCACTTACAGCATGTGCAAACTTGCTCTACAAGTATCAAATTTCACTTGACGAGCCGGTGACTGTATGAGAGTATCCCGAAAGTCACGTCTCAACTTGCTCCCGCCAATATGACCCATCCGCTGCGAATTCCATGGTGGGATGCAACGTTCTCTCCTCTAACGGGATTCCCTAAAGCTCATGGGCAGGCGACGCCGACCCTACAGCGCTCCTCTCCGTCGATTCCAAGAATCTGCCTGCAGCGTTCGACGTCCACGGTCCGATTTCAGACGTTTCGTTGGCACTTTTTGGAGTCCTTCTAGAACCTTGATCGAACAAGCATAAAGAAACATTTTTCTAGTCGAGATTCCAGGAAACCCATACCCCTTCAGAGGTCTCTCCATTATGCATTAACCAGGCGATCCGTCGATTAAAGAGAGATATTCGGAAAGAACGCGAGCTTAAAGTACGCCTCGACTTGTTGCTGAAGCAGATAACGGAGGTGAAACAGTTAATTGAATGGAGAAACGATTATGTACGTTATAACGTGCACCCGGTGGGCGATCGCCCCAGGGCTCCAAATGTTAAAACCTCCATCCTGCAATGCATTAAAATCCTTCCGAAGGCAGTAATATAAAATTTCAATCGTATCATTACATCCATGTCTTATTTAAGCACGCTCGGCGCTCAAGGCCGAGGAGGAGGGGAGCCCGAATATTCGTCGCGTTACCTGTAACTTTTTTTTGGTATCATAAGTTGTGTGTAGTTTAGATGTTAGGACGTCCTCGCGGTGAGGCGAGTGCGGGCAAGAAGTCAACAGCCATCGCGGGACAAAGGCGCCCTCGAGGGACCAGAGAAGAGGAAGACCACGGTGGCAGAGAGGCCTCGCCCCGTCGCCGCCCATGGGACCCGGGGCCGCGCGGAGTAGGGCCGAATAGAGCCACCCGTGACCCCGCGCTTGACGGCAAGGGCCGACCCATGGCGGCGTCGCTGGGTCACCGCGGAAGTACCCGTATTTCCGGCCCCTCACTGATGGCGGGAGGATGTCGCATTGCCAGTGGCCGTGGGCCCCCCGCCGTGACCTTTGACTCGAGGGATTCCATAAAAGGGTGGTAAGGGGGGGTCTCAATTGCGTCGGCCTCCTGCGCCGAGGCCAGGACGCGGTGACCCCAGGGCGGAAGGGCCCGCTGGTCCCCTCACCCGGGAGCTGTTGCATCGAGAGATGTTGGCACCCCCGGGCAAAATCGCGAGAAATCTTGGCTCAAGGGAGCCCAGGACCGGCGCCACCGAGTCCCCGAGGAGCAACGTCCCTGGTCCTCCGAATGACGCCACGCGCCGGCCGCGCACCCCGATTGGACCGCGGAGTCCACTTCAAATCCGGCACGCGAACTTGCGCCGCGGCTATCATCATCCAAAATCCTCGAAATTCCGAGTACGACCGCTGTCAATTGGCCGACACAATTTGGCAGCCGACGGCGACCAATCAACGAGAACTTCGAGCCGCCGACGAGGAGCCATCGAGTCTTCCCGGAGGACCACGGCGAGGACTCGTTCTTCTTGGTCTACGAGCGTCGAGTTGTGAGGACGTATTTGAATTCGTTGTCTCCCCACCACCCTCTGCACGGCTACCTCGAAACACCTTGCTACCGCTACCTGGGTTTTTATATTTCTTGGCCAAAGTCTCGTGTGAGC